ACAACACACACACACACACACACACACACACACACACATACTCACACACTACACACACTCTCTCTCTCACACACACACACTAAAAAAAATCAATCACCCACCCACACCCTGTGTTCATGCTCGCCTGCTCTCGAAATCTGCTTTCTCCTCCAGGTACCGCGACCAGTTCAATGCTGTGTGCATGAAAGTGTTCAATGCTGGCTTGGCGCACGAGGAACAGAGGCAGTCCGAGTTGGCGCTGCTGCACGATGCTCTTCATCTGGCCAAGAGAGACGCCGACAGTTATGCCAGAGGGTGAGATGCCGCCAAGATTGGATGGGATTCGATTCGATTGTGTGGAGATCATAAGAGATTCGATTCCACTGAAAGAGAATTAAATGAGATTCGGTTCTATTAAAAGAGAATTACATGAGTCTCGGGTCGATTATGTGACGATTATAAGAGATTAGATTAATTTTAAAAGAGAATTAATTGAGATTCGGTTCCGAGTATATGAAGATCATGAGATTTGATTCTATTAAAAGAAAATTCAATGAAATTTGCTTCGATTAAGTTTAAAAGCATGTTTCGATTCCATTAAATGAAAATTCAATGAGATTCGCTTCGATTATGTGGAGATCATAAGGGAATCGATTCCATCAAAAGAGAATTCAATAAGATTCGGTTCGATTATGTGACGATTATAAGAGATTCGATTCCATTAAAAGAATTCAGTGAGACTCGATTCGATTAAATGAAGATGAAATTGAGATTCGGTTCGAGTAAATGAAGATTCGGTGTGATTAAATATATATTGGCATCGGTTAGATATATGTCTAAATATCTGGATGAGTTTCGATGTCATTGGTTTCGACTGATGCGATGTAAATCCAGTTCACACCAGCGCCGTTTTTGGATACCGTCGCAGCACCGTGACGACACAAGTACGTCACATACACAGCGGTTGAACGTTGAAAGTGGCCGGAAGAGAGAACCGAGACTAACTATGCAATTTTAGCAATAGGCCAAATTTCACGTAAATACTTACCGACGCCAAAAAAAATATTAGAATAAAGAAATGTTACCAAAACCTTTTTGCATGATAGTAATGGCTTTTTATGAATCCATCCAGAAATTGCTGTGTGACTAACAGAGCCCTACATTGTCACTGAACAGAGGGAAAGCTGTCACAACTTGACACCATTGGCAACACCACGTTGGTTACGGCCAAAACGTTATACCGTAAACCAGACTGAATTGTTTGCCTACAATTGGCTGCCACTGCATCCGTGTAGGGGGGAAGGCAAATGACCTTGTCTTTGTCTATCTTTGTTTCTAGTTCAATCTCATTTTCCGATGTTTTCTGGATATTATTAGATTAGCATTGATAGCTAGAGGGGCCGTTCTGTGTTCTTTCTACCCCTTCCTCACTGAACAAGTAAATTAATTCTCATGGTTATTCAGCTTTACATCTTGATTCTCACTCGTTTAACCACTTTATAAAATATGGCAGACCAGTTCAAGTTATTGAAATGTTCGAAGTTTAGCTTTGTGCAGTCCGTATACACGATCCAGATCTACACATTCAAATCCAAATAATACAGCTGAGAAGAAGCAATAACAATTTCCAAGGTATATGTATTATCTCGACTGCGTACCTCGCTCTTCACAAATTTTCACCATTTGTAAGTTTAATATTCATATAAGACTGGGATAGATCACTCATTGACGGTTGTAGTAAACAGTCGTAAGGTCTTCAAATACAAAATAAAACAAGTGATAATGAGACACAAGGAGAACAATGGGATGTATTTTTTTCTCTCTCTCTTGATGTTGAGCAATCGGTGCGTCGTGATCTGACGGTCGATTGCTCTGTTTGTTGTCCTTTGTGAGAAAAAACAGTGTCAAACGTTTCCTATATCCTGTATTCTTTTCCTAAAGCGACATGACTGTCAAGGTGAGAGAGTCTCTCTTCTCCTCTCCTCTCTCTCTCCTGTCTCTTCCTCTCTCTCTCTCTCTCTCCTCTTCCTCTCTCTCTCCCTCTCTCTCTCTGTCTCTGTTCTCGCTCTGTCTCTGCTCCCCTCTCCTCCTCCCTCTCCTCTCCCTCCTCTCTCTCTCGCTCATCCCTTCTCTCTCTCCTCTCCCTGCTCCGCCTCTCCTCTCTCTCTCCTCTCTCTCTCCTCTCTCCCTCCTCTCCCTCCCTCCCTCTTCTCTCTCTCAATCTCTTCTCTTCTTCTCTCTTTCTCTTCTCTCTCTCTCCTTCCTCCTTGCTCTCCTTCTCTCCCCTCTCACCGTTCTCTTCCCTCTCTCTTCTACATTCTCTCCCCTATCTCCTCTTCCCCTTCTCCCTCTCTTTCCCTCTTCGTCTCTCTCTGCTCCCCCTCCCCTTCATCCTCCTCCCCTCCTCCCTCCTCCCCCTCCCTCGCCTCAAGGGAGGAAGAGATAGCAAAAGGAACTATCCACGGACTTGCAGCAGTGAATATCTTCCCAAATGGCTTTTATATCCTTTTACCTAGCGATTCACATAGTCTATGATTCCTCTTCTTGTAATCGGCCCTTCTCAATCTATCTGCTAGGAACCTACACAGGGCGTCGCTTGCCTTCTGGGTGTGTGTCGTGTCGTGTGCTAATATACTACTACCTCATCATCAAGACACAGTCGCCAGTAACAATCTCAACTAGTTGGTAAGATGCTGACGACGAGTTGAAGATTATTTACTACTAGACTGACGCGGTAAAAAAACTGTTTAGACGCCAAAAAAAGTCAAACTTGACGAAGCTCGAGAGGCTGGACAGACGGCTGTAATCGCAAGGTTGCGAGGAACGTCGTTCAAAAGACGGCCGTGAATGGCGAGAGAGCTGAGGAGGCCCAGCCTCGGAATGAGCCAGCGTAGGAAGAGGTTGAAGGAGTTTAACCAGGGAGAGTGAAGAGAGAAAGGAGAGACTACGGTGATTGAAGGTTGTTCTGAGTACAGGATGACGTTGAAGACTGATTTTAGGGGCAAGAAGCTTGTGATATAAGAGAAACTTAATAGCGAGGAATGCAGTTGGACACATGTGGATGATATTAAGGATAAGACAGTGCTTACATTATACTATATGTATTATATTTTATTAAGTATACTTATACTAATTAGGATATTCTATGTACTATGAGATCATATGAGAACGTATAGTATGTTAAGAAGTATTTAGATATTAGCGATAATATATAGTAATAAGTTATCTACGGGAATTTTATGTTCTCGTTAGTCATTATTATTATATTTTATCTTTACCTGTATTATAATATATATATAGTGGTATACAGTATATAAGAGGGTGAAATGCTAATATAGAGAGGTAATATTGTTTCATTAATGTAATATCTTATTTTTATTGCTATATATTTTTTTATATTAAATATTAATTATATAATTTGTATAGTCGTTTTTTTTATATATATTATTTATTTCAGTCTGTAAGTGGATTATAGTAGTAAAAGATTTGTTATGATATTTTAATTCACTGAATATAGTAATGTATGAGAACTAGTTGTTCTACGAAGAAAAACGATAGTTTGAAGCGTGAAGTAAAATAAATGAGGGGAATAAATATATAAGTGTTCTATACATTATAATATATTCTGCCTTTTATATTATATTATACTATAACTGAAAGCAATATTATATAATTTATAAAAATACTATTGCTCGTAAGAAGTTCGGGTAAGGTTATATTAAATATCATATTAATTAAGTAAACTAACTGGTAGATTATAATATATTATTATCCTGTGATGTAGTGTATTGTTATTATAGTAACGCTAATACCTATTATCTTGTTATTAATAAAGAGAATTGTTTTATACTTTAATTGTGGTAATTTATAAATACTAAAGTAAGTATATTTATTCGCATACGCAATTCACTATATGATTATATATATTTAGTATACTCTCTGTTTCCTTTCTCTCGTTGCTCTTGCTCTGTTCTTCTCGTCGTTGTCTCTGCTCTCGTCTCTCGTCTCGTCTCTCTCCTCGTTTGTGTCTGTCTCTCAGTCGTGCTCTCTCTGTCTTGTGTGTTCGGTGTTATGTTCGTCTTCTCTGCTTCGTTTGTCTTCGTTCGGTGTTTCGTTGTTCTGGTTTCTCTTTCGCATTCTCTCGTCTGTAACCTCAGCTTGGATAGCAAGATACAGAATAGATACATATCAGATAGATTGCTAACAGCGATATTGGCAGTCGAGATAATGATGGATGGTAATCTCTGACGTATACTGGAGCTGACAAAGAGTAGTATTGGTTTTGATAATAATAATAAAAATATGATAATAAAAATGACACAGGAGCAAACAGAAAAAAATGAGTGTACGCATGAGATTAGATGATTATTTCAAGACATAATTATCAGCCTGATAACCAAAAAGATAAAAGAGATGAAAGGGGAATGGCCACACAATAGGCATAGGGAACAATGCTTAGTATGTGTATCATTATGTTTTAAAAAAGGCATTCATCCTTACCCTTTTCAGCGGTCTGTTTGCGAAAAAGGTATTTTACAAAAAGAATATTGTAACGCCCTATTTTTCGCTTAAGGTGAAAATACTTTGTTAAACTATTCCCGTATTCAATTATATGGCACCAATTACATAGTGTTAATAAACATATCTTATTATACCATGTTATTACTTTTGATTTAATATTTCAGAAATGAAAGGAAAATTGTAAAGGAATGATTTGCTATAAAATTAACTCATCATCATTATTCGTCACATTCGTCTCATGTACTACCTGGTCATTCATGTATCTGTATGAATGCTTATCATTGTTATATAGTGTGCGTGTGGAATTGAAACAGTTCACATTTTGAAATAATAATACAATACTTTCGTGAATTCCCCGATTGCATCGTGTGGCAGATAGAATATGCTGTTTCCGAATGTAACGCAGATTCTGTCTTAAGTGCAAAGGCATATTATAAACACGATAGATATAAAAGTACAACATATCTACTCTCTTACAGTTACGTTTGTATTTCCTTCCATTATTCATATACATGTTCTCACATAAACAGACGAAGTTATGTATCCACATGTCTATAACAACTCAGTGTGATATCAGACACTTTGCAGCATAAATAGATTAATTAGCTGTCATAACTCGGAGATTTGAATATTTTAGGGAAAATATGCCCAAAAAGAGTGAATAGAATAAAACTTTTCGCCATGTGTTATCATCACTGTCTTAATTATTGTCATTATCATTATCTATGTCTATATGTTGGACTTAGACTTAGTACCTGGTCTTTCTGTTGAAATTCAAGACGGACATTCTGAATATCAACATTTCTTTAGTGATATATGACCTTTGGTGTCTAGCACATTTATGTTTTAGCCATTAACCTTTCCCTTCTTTATTTATGAATCTATTTCATGGTTCAGGAAGCCCACGCAGCCCGGGTGACGAAGACTGTAGCTCTTAAAGAAGAATTCGAATCTAATATATATTCCATCACCCAAGACCTGCTGAATGCTGAGGTTACGCTGGCCGACCAAATCAAGGTCTGTGGAATTGGGTATACATTTTTTCTCGTTACATTTGGCAATTTTCTCTCATATCTCACGCTTATATGAGAGTGCGTGCTAATTGCAAGGACGTACACAAGTAGAATATTATTTTAGCTTACGTGACCTAAGCATCATGCATATCTTTCCATTCGTGTAGTAACGCTAAGTACTATGATTATATTCTCTCACTCTATTTTTTTCCTCTTTAATGATGAAATTCATACTGGAGAAAAGACGTAGGCCTATATAAATATTTTCTCTAGCTCTCACTTTCTCTCCATTTTTTTACAATAAAATTCATACCGGGAAAGGACGTGGTAGGACGGGCTAGGGAGGAGCTGGGTACTCTCGTTGGAAACTTCCTGGAGGAGGCCGCTGCCGAGCTCCAAGAAGGGCGCCGTCTTGCTTATACCTTCTACTGTCGTCTGAGGGAACTAACGTCTAAGGTAGAGTCTCAGTTCTGTAGCTGTGTGGTTCTTTTGCAGTTGTTACCATTAATTATCGTCTAGATTTAGATTTCTGTCGGCTAAAGTGTTCTACTGGTAATAAAGAGGGTGCTAATTATCATGTAACATCTTCATTGTTAAATTCATCAAATTCTTATTTCGACGGATGAAAATTAATTCTATTCCATAATGCCAAATATGTCATTAACGCAGATATTGAAATCGGGATGCCTTAATTACATATCTAGCAATTTAGAATGGAATCAATTATGTTCTTTCATTACAGTCCACTCATTGTTCTATCGTTTATATGAATGAAACATTGGTAAAGTTCTGTTTGTATTGAATGAAATATGCATACACACAGTACCGTCCATCAGCATAACGATTTTATCTATTGCCTTTTTTGGATAAGCAGCATTGCGTTACAGGAAAATATACGTAGTGAATGAATGAAAAAGGACAATAAAAGAATGGAAAAATATATGCGATTTCAAGTACTGTATATCCTTTCAGCGTTGTATAAATGTCAGTCATACATTTCCAGTAACTCACTATAACATGGTGATTATAATAAGAAAGGCCATTTCCCGATACATTTAATTAAAATTGATAATAGGTGTCATTATAGGCACCCAATTCAACACAAATATATATATATATATAAAAATGTGCATATCTTTATTTGTATTTGATATAGCATTGCTCAGGCATATAAGGAAATCATTGTGAGGCACATAGCCATATAAACATGCCTGAACTAGACACCATAAACCAGTGCTTAAGCTGATTGTTTAAAATAATCTACCGCATCAAAACCAGTACATACATGCTCTACGGTATACCTGTTTTAAACACAAAAAGTTGATTGTCGTTACACGTTCATTTCCACCTTGGCTCTTGCATTATTTTAAGATATAAGGTTTTAAACGCATCTTGTTTAAATTTAACGATGTAATTCCCGTATGTCCCTCAATGAAGTACCGAAGATATGGGTGACAAGTATATAACTGTGTAGTTCCGGTCTGATTTCCGTAGTACGGCTTGGTCGGGCCGACACATTTAAGTTTAAAATATGGGTTTTGCTGTTTGAGCCTGACTGGTGTGTCAGTATACGTCACCGCGATGAGAAAGTTTATATCTAAGATAATTGATACGAGAGAAATTTTATGGAGACAGCATGTGAATTATTTGATATAATTCCACAATGTTATTCCGTTGCCAGTAGAATGAAGTTATCGTATTCTGCTGGGTATGTTATTTTAACTCAGTCATTCACCGTTATCACATTTCATAGCTAGATATTACAAGGGTTAGTTATCAACAGTTACTTAGCTTTTCCTTATCCAGTCAATTTTATCAAACCTTGATAAGAAACAACGTAATTGTTATTTGATGAAAGCAAAGTGAGCAGGTAAAGCAGACCAATCTTCAGACGTGTTTACAAATGTTTAATATAGACACGTGCAAACATTTACCACAAGACTTCTTAGCACGTCCTCAGTACAGACATATTTCTAGATAAGATGAA